TCGCTTCACTGCGTAACTGGAAGTTCTAGGGGAAATATTTGACCACTCTTCAGTTGAACTTACAACCAAAGGAATACACCACGGGAAATTGCCGAAGTCACTGACAACGGGAACTGTTCTGTTCATCCTGTGGTAATCAAAACCTATTCGTCGCAGAGGGCTAAGCTGCAGAGGAAATATGACGGCTGTCTGACGATTTCGTGTTGCTGACTCAGGGAAGCTCTGAAAAGCTTGTGTGGAAGCAGAAATGCAGAAGTTCTCAAGACTTTGTTTGCACTGCGGTACACAGAGATGATCGTGAGCATAATAAATGCCATTGCCGTGTGAATTCCTCGTGATGCCTCAGTGTTTTGAGCCTGTAAGTAGGCCTCTCAGGGAAACGACTCAGGCATCAAAGATGACTACTATGACCCGATGCTAGTCAGTCAACAGAAAGTCACTCAGGAAAATCTGGTCAGTTCAAGGACAAACTCACTCATTGCATTTTCTTGGTAGTGGCCCGAAATAGGAGCTCGTTGGGAGGCTTTTCGAGACTTAACACAGCTACTTCGTCACTCACTTCTGGTACGATGAGAATCTAGCTATCAGGTGATCGTGTGTTGAGTCATCGAGGCAGAGGCTGTAGTGACTTCAAAAACTTTAAATTACACATCCAGCACAATAAAGGAAGGGCTGGCTAGCCAACAGCGATAGCCAACCGTTGAGCGTAGGAATTGAAACATTTTGCTCCTAATCACATTGAAGCTACCCCTAGGGTAGAGGAGCTGTGTACAATCTTACAATCTTCTCTTGCTACCTTTGACAGTGGTTCCGTTCTTCTTCAGCTTTCCACTGCGAACTGTCATACGATGCGTTGACTTTCTGGCAAATCCTTGCATGGAATAGACGTTCTTGACCAAGGAGCGTCTGATCCACGATCTACGAAGATGTCTGTGGACCCTCCTGCCATAATAATGCCTATAGTAGTTTCTGTGATAATGACGGCGAAGATAATAACGATAACTGCGTGGACCATGTCGGATATACTGCAGAAAATGAGAAAAAGAAAGTTGTCGAACCACTTGGTTTTCAAGGTTGCAAGAGGGTCGAACATGGACTATTCTGAGACTTGTACCAGCCGACAACTTCCGACTTGTAAAGAGGTCTTATCATTACGACAGAAGATAGTCGTTTTGAGACAGACCACCCACTTTCTGGACTCGCTGTCTACGCCACCGCATTACGCCCACTTTATAACAAGCGGTTGAGCGAGATGTGCGGCCTTCCGAAGGATTCTCAGAGAATGAGCAATTGCAGAATGCAATTGAACAACAACTTCTCAAAGCGGCACTGAAGTCGAAACGTGATCAGTTATATGCGTGTTTAAAGAAGTGTGTTGACAAGGAGATGTACTGTGAACGGTTCGTGCCGGAACGCCTTTGGAAGAGAATCGTGGGTGAGTCAAAAAACATTTGTGATTTTGTTCGCTCTAGAACTAAGACAAGACTACAAGAAAAGTTCGATAGACTAGTAGAACAACAACGGTATTATAGATCACGAGAGGCTTCACCTGGTAAACCAAACAGTGTGACGCACATTGGGGATGATAGTAATGTGGAGAAATCACCGAAGTCGCGAGTCACAGTTTTAGGCAACATTCGCTCTCTCCGACGATGCGGTTCAATTACTGGAAATGGGTCCAAGCTTTGCTCCAGCGCAGTCAATAACTCCTAGTGTTTCGCGTAAGATTGTTGGTAACCTACAAACACTTCATGAACGCCTCCTATGCAAAGCTAATGCGGAACGGCGGGAAGGGGGTGCAGCGGACACGTCAAGAAAATTTCCCACTATACCCTTTCCGATCAATTTCCA